AGAATACAAGCTCAAGATCAAAGGCCAGAGAGGGCATAAAATCAGGGACTCAGCTTCCCTTTTTCTCTCCCCTCCCTTCTCTTCTCCACCTACATTGAAGCATGTGATCACCTTTTCTGTTCAGGGCTCAAGCCATGTGGCCCCGTCCACCATTAAAACCATCTTTCCAAGCAGCCTCCATGTCTCCAGTGTCTTTTTCCCCACTTGGAGCCGAACCCAGAAGGACATTTCTTCCATCTCAAAGAAGGCTACTGCAATTCAAACTCAAGGAATAAAGAACTACACATTGTTGTCTATTCATATAAACACAGAATGATAATACTGAGATTCTATGGTCTGCCCCAGCAACAGGCTAACTTTGTCAAGGCTGATATTCGTGTTTATTAGAGGGAGACAAATAACAAAGAGATTTTGTATAATGATCTCAGCTGTCTTTTACTTTCGGCACTTCATTTGGACCTCTGTCCCAAGAAAGAAAGAAAGAAGGAAGGAAAGAAAGAAAGAAGGAAGGAAGGAAGAAAGAAAGAAAGAAAAAAGAAAGAAAGAAAGAAAGAAAGAAAGAAAGAAAGAAAGAAAGAAAGAAAGAGCTGAAAATGTCCTTCCTTGTTCCAGCATCACTTATTGGCTATTTGCACCAATAAGAACAGAGTCCAGTTTAGGTTCAGGCCAACAACTGCATATCATACATCCTGATACAGTTTTTGTAAACACATTCAAACAAAAACAAAACCCCCATAGGGTAATCCTCTTCTATTGGGACAGTTCTTGCAGTTTTGAAGAAATGGCTGAGAAAGGAACAAAGCTTGTAAAACGATGACCTGTTTCATCTATCCCTATTTACCAAAACTCTGCAGAAAGATCGAAATTAAGACAAGCATGATCATTTCTCCTTTCAGTAATTCTCATCTGCTACCGCCTCTGCCATTCATCCCCCATCTTTCCATTTTATTTGATATTTGACTTCCGAAGGAAGCCAGAAAAGAGTATTGGTATTTGTGAGACCCAGCTGTCTTTACATACCTGCGTATTCCTATTCTGACACACACATTTGAACTATGATCCATCATAACTTGAGTGCAAAGTCCCATCATTCAGAATTNGACAGCTGATTTACGCTGTTCTAGCAGCTTAACGCGATCACGGGGCTGGCGTTCCCACAGGAACGTCCTTCAATGCCTACGGTGCCACCGGAAGACAGGATCCCCACAACCTTTGAGCACGTTCCTCTTCCCACTGGGTTCCCACAGACCTTAGGCCTGCTTCCCATCCCACCAGGCCCTCTTTTTTGCTTACCTCTCGAAGTTCTCTTGAGCTCAGGAGTTTGGGGCGGGGAAAGATTACCTAGATAATAAGTCACAGTTAGTGCAAGTTCAAAAAACCCCACAAAATTCGATTTAGGGACAATTGTAAATTGATATCGTCACATTTAATGTGATAACAACTTCAGTTAATGGGAGTCTAGTGTTTGTGCATTTGTGCATGCATAGTGACATTTTTAGATGCAGCTAATCTTTATTTGTGCAAAATGGAGAAAAGAAAATTCCTGTTAGAGGAAAACAAGTACAAGTTTTAAAAAAGAGGCTCATTATTACATTAGAGCAAAAAATTTGATGTAATTGAATGACATGAATATTGTCACAGAAAGTTTAAAAGAGAAGAAGTTGGAATGCCTGAATCTACAGTAGATTTTTTTAAAACTTTGTTTACTATAACTATTATGTGATTTTGTGAACCACAAATTTAAATTTTAGGTATATTATTTTTTATCCTTTACTGTAACATTTCACTAATATTAATATAAAAATTATGTTTAAAAAGTTTTCATTATTTATTTTTCTCAAGCTGAAACCAATTACCATATTTTCCATAGAAATACTGGTATGAAGGGTGTGAATTTGAATAACATCACCATTTCATGGAAATCATTAACCTCACTGAGACCTACCTGTATTGGGAAATTGTTATGCATTTATGACCACTAATAGACCAATAAATAATGAGGTGATAAAAGTTACTTTCATCTTTAAGGACAATATTTTTTTTGTCCTTATAACAGGTGAGGCGTTGCAATTATTTCATTGTTGATAAAGCAGATATTTTGGAATTTATTTTTCAAACAGGAAATAGGTTGTGCTTTTCATTTCTTAATCAATTTATGGGATTATTATCTGTAATGGCTAAAAGAGATTCTTTTTAGTCACAGCCTGTCATTCCTTTTTGAAGCTCTACACCATTTTTGAGACTTTGTAGTTAAATGACAAGAAAGAGGAAGCAAGCTAAAATAAGGAAGCATGGAATTTGAAGACATGAATATTATAAATGATATAAAATAAGAGCAAGTGATGCAATGATGTGTAGAAGGTTATCAAACCACTGAGGCAATTTCACAAATATCTGACAATGTAAAGGACTTAACTGCAACTTTGGAATACAAACCTGACACCAATCTTTATTATTATTATTATTATTTTTATTATACAATTTCCATTGGTATATATAAAATTTCCATATCCACAAGGGCAGTGTACTGACTGGGTACAATCTCTTTTAAATACAAATAATAAATCTTATGCACACAATAACTATAATTATTCTCAAAATCTATTCACCATAATCTTCACTTATCTTTATTAAAACATTTTCCGTTATTTAATTAAATGCTCTGTTTGGCTTTATCTATATTTAGCTAATAATATCAAGCATTATAAATCATATAAATATCACATTTGTAATCATTATCATCCAGGTCTATTAATCATAGTGTTTGCTTATATTCATTATTCAATATTCATTATTTAATTACACATTTACTTCATTTTTAATTACTTGCCCTCCTTAATTCTAAATTTCTAACTTCGACTTCTATTTTCTAACCATTGATAGAATAATTCCCAAGTTTAAAAGTATTCTGTTTCCTTATCCTTAATGTTCAATATTAATCTATCCATTTCAGCACATTCTAGTATTTTCTTTAATATTATCCTCTATAGGTATATTTTCACTTTTCCAATTTTGTGCATACACAATTCTCGCTGCTGTTACATGTAAAATTAACCAATCTTTATTATGATGATGGATTAAACATAATCCTCTCAGTACAACTGAAACAAGAGCTCTAAGCAAATCCACAATTTTCAAGAGGAATTTTTTGAATGGATACTAACAAGGTCGAGAAATCTTTGGTAAAAAAAGACTTGATAGACATTCCAGAGAAAAGATTTTATGCTATAAAGACTTAAACTTAATGAAGCTTTTGTAGTTAGAATGGAATTTTACAAGTCTGATATATGTAAGAATTATGTCAGGATTATTAAACTGCTTGTTGAAGAAAAAAACGTTGAAATCTAAAATATTTCAAGGCATCATTTTAGGGAATTTTGTATCTGGGAGTGAAATGAAAGTCAAATTCTCAAACTATTTAAATAGAGCAATATAAAACAAGGTTGGTGGAAACTTGAATAAAAAACTTTTAATAACACGGTTAAACATATTTGTACCATGTTTTTCTTCTTTTACAATATTTTTTATTTATTTTATTTGTTCAATTTCTATGCCCACCATCTTAGTCAATGATTCTGTGCAGCTTAGTTTATTCAATATGATATAGATATATATATTTTAAAATATTCCAGAATTACCTTTGGAAGCATTTATCAAATCAAAACAGAACCTAAATAATTGTACCCTTTAAATGACAGAGTTTTTTTGTTAAATTGCCACAGGTTTTTATTTACCTTCTCTTGAAGCCCTAATAGGCGGTCGAGTGAGTATGACACCCGACATTTTGATGTTATCTGTATTTTCTGTCAAAGAAAGAGGAATAAATGAAATAAAAAATGGTTACAGATAGACCTATTTGACAAAACAACCTACAGTTCTAGCTCCCACTTGACAAAATGAGAAATAAATAGTATATACGTATTTATATATTAAAAAATCATTAGGCTTTTTTGTAATGTGCTTTTTCCTACAAATTTGTGCATACGTAAAAAAAAATAGTACATGTGTTTTTGTGTGTTATATTTGCTTACAAACGGAGCAATCAAGGGAGAAAGGCCTGAGTAAGAGAGGTGACCAAGAACCTGATGTTCACTCTGAGTTCCAGAGATCTGTGTGGAAATGGGACGGAGTTCCAGAAGGACAACTATCACTGCAGCTTTCTCCCAAACTGGGCTTTATATCAGGGTGGCTAGACAGAATGAATGGCTGTAGGCCAAGGATTACCTGTATATTAAGCCTGCTTGTTTAAGAGGAAGAACTATTATGAATGTTTACAATCCTGAACCACTTATAAAATAATAAAGATGTTTTTAAAAATCTAAAAAAATGTAAGAACAAGTCAGACTGAAGATACCATCAGAAAAAAAAAAACATCCAGTAGCTTTTATTAGCATTAAACTTGTATCTCTTCCCATCAATAACAGTAAAAAAACATTTAAATTGCCTCTTTTAAATGATATGCAACATGTGTAAGATAAATAACATTTTTAAAGATTTTACTCATAGCACATCTTTGTCCTCAAAACTCAGTAGGTTTAATATTAGAAAATGAAAACTGATCTTTGTACAGATAATTCTTGAGCTACGACCACATTTGAGCCCAAAGTTTATCTTCCTAAGTGAGATGTTTGTTAACTGAGATATCATTAACAAAATGTTCATTATTATAAAGAAAATCCAAGATTACCTGTCTGTGTTTGCATTTTGCCATTAAAATTTTTGCTGGACGCTCTGTTTCTGGCTTCAGTTGAGGAACAATCTTCCAAATAAAGAGGGAAAAGTCCTTAATAAATACAGCATAAACAAGCAAACATCCAGGTATTATTTATTTGATTTGTGTGCCACCCATCTCTTCTAGAAGTGACTGTTATATCACTCCTAGTCCTATGAAATGTTGTATGCATAGGTGCTAAAGTATTTCTGGGACACCTCTTGTGATTCTTACTACCAATGCCTCACTTTTTTATATTTCAGAAATGTTTAAAAGAGAACCTGCATATAAGTGTGATATGAAGTAAAGGGCTCCAAATTCTTGGTATTTTGCGTTCTGAATGAGTGCCAATATGTCCAAAGTAACCATTTTATATACAACTAAGCCTCTTACAGAATCTTTGAACAGGCTCTTAAAAAGTTTGTGGGACTCTGGGAAAAATTAGTTCGTGGTTCACAATATAAAGCATAGCTTCTATACTTCAAAAATGTTTCTTAAAACAAAATAATGGTTTCCTCACAATAACTTCTCTCACATGTCCTTTTCTTATTAGTTATTTAATTCTGATTCAAAATAATAGTTCATTCTTTTGCACGGACAAAAAGTGATGATGAAAATTGAAAAGATAACCCAAAGGAAAGTTAAACTGTTTCTCCAGGCTTTTTCGCAAATTGCATTGCACCAAATCTTACCAATTTAGCAAAATGCAACCTACACCATATCATTTCAGGGATATTTTTTCATTTTAAAAATTACGATGTGTTAAAAAAAACAATAGAAAGATAGATACTCCTTAGTCACCTGTTTTTTCTCAAGTAAAGTAATTCCACTAAAAAATCAAGTCTCTTCTACTTGAACAATTAAACAATGCATACTATTGTATGGGAGATATGAATTCTATAGGACAGTTCATATAGATGAGTAGAATGCTATTTTTACATTTTTCTCAAACCAATGCAAGATTCTTAGAGCGGATGTCTAAAAAGCAGAACTATTATATATCAGTTCTGCAATAAACGGAGTCAAAAGAATTAGCTTGCATTTTCTATTCCCATAAAGGGAGAAGGACAGAGTTAACTGTAGGGAGAACTGCCCCACAGTTCTCTGTAGCCTACTATGTCACACTGTTAAAACGCAAGCTTTTTATATAGCGGAAATTGAGCATCTCTGTTTTCAGCAGATGGCAGCATCTGTCAGGGATGCCTTTTTAAGGCTGTTTGGCCTGCATTACTTGGATGGGAGGTCACCCAGAAAATACAGGTAATCCTCAACTTACAACAGTTCATTTATTGACTGTTCAAAGTGATGTTGGAAGAAATGTCCTTCTGGGTTCGGCTCCAACTGGGGGAAAAGAACCGAAGACATGGAGGCTGCTTGGAAAGATGGTTTTAATGGTGGACAGGACCACATGGCTTGAGCCCTGAACAGAAAAGGTGATCACAGGCTTCAATGTTGGTGGAGAAGAGAAGAGAAGGGAAAGCAAGGGAGGAAGAGAAGCTGAGTCCCTGGTTTTATGCCCCCTCTGGCCTTTGATCTTGATCTTCTATTCTG